TCAAAGATAAATAATAATGGGATTGGTTGGCTCAGATAAGCTTTATAATTATGAAACCTGATGGTTTTTTAATAAGATCCACATGATTATATAATTATTGGTCGCTGTGATTTTAATATACAATAATATTTATTATTCACTATTATAATTTTAAAACATTAAAAATGTATTAAAATTGAAATACGTGATAGTTCAATTGCTTTGATCGGGAGCAGGAATCGCTACTACGGATTTGGGTTGAAATTCTGCCCGTTCCTATCGTAATATGTATTTAATTTATATATCTACCCCAAAACAGCACTATTTACTGGTGTTATCAACCTCCTAACAAATTTTAATATTTACAATTTTATAAGCATTATTTGGAAAAAATTTAATACGTAATAATTATTTCTTACAGCGCCATCTATCGATTTGTAGCTGAACTATGATAATATAGAGCCTTCTTCGTAGGATGTTTATTTCGTAGTACTTTTTAGTGTAGCCAAAAAAAAATTCAATATTAATGAATATAGTTAATAATAAAATGTATTATTTGATATTATGTGTATAACAGATCTCTTTATGATAGTGTGTTGTCCCTATAAGGACATCGAAAGAAATACGACTTAGGAACGTAAATATGTAGTTAAAATAATATTGTGAAATCGAAAAGATATCATTCAGCGGCTTAGGGCAAGACCGACTAAATTAGAAAGATATTTTTACCGCGCCCTTCGTGAAAAAATCTCAATGCAAATAAGCACGTGTAGACTTGGGGGAAGAAAGAAAACAAGGGAAACGTTTTCATAGTAATAAAAACAATGTGTGTTTAGCGATGGAATTGCAGATAAATAGTCATTAATTTTCCACTGTTTTTTACATAGATTACTTCACTTTAAGGGGGTAACTTAGCCTTGGTGCTCGATTTTTTATTAAATAGCATATATTATAAAGATGTAGATAAACACAAGCGAACTGACGTCCTCACAATTATTTGTGTAATTTTAAAATAATAGAAATATAGCAAGTGATAAACGATCTTTAGTTGCTAAGAGATAAATAAATAACAAAAATTTATGAAAGTACTTTTCATTCCAATAAGAACAGTATTAAGAAACTTCCTGATATCACAAATTATACTTATTATTTACTAGTGATGTTCTATTGCTTGCAAAAAAAGTTCTTCGCTTGCTAAAAATAGGTACCTAGTAAGGTACAATTTACCTAAGTATTATTAACTATGTAAATAAATAAATTAAACGATTTAAAATCTAGAAAAATCTTGCCACTACGAAAGTTATAGAAGACGGTTACACGTGTGGAATTAATTAATTTCGCCGTACTTAAGTTCTATAGAATTTTTCTCACGAGATCGTATTGAAAAGAGGAAATCAACCCCTAAAAGGAATCAGAAGTTCAATCTAAGGGCGCATTTGTCGTCATTGTTGGCAGCGACAGACCTGAATCGATCTCCGGTGAGTTCTTACAATGGTGCTTATCAGTATAGAGAGATTGGTGAAAGTTATGTGGGAGGTAACTCAAAGAGGAAGAATAGAAAATTTTTCTTAATGCTCTTCAACTTGCTAACGTGAAGTTCCTTAAAAACATAATCCGATAAAATTCGTTTCACAGAATCGATTCATGAACTAGATTTCAAGAAATCGTTAGAAACGTTTTTACTTTATATGATTATACCTACTATACTAATTATTTTTAGCATTTATTCTATATTTGTAACTCTAACGCGCACCCTAACGCACTCTCTAAAGCTTAGGTACTCAACTGTATTTGACAAAATCAATATCAATATAAGTGACGCATTAATTTCAGAACAGTAGAGACTAGTATTTATCAACATAACATGCGGCATTGATTACAATTTTTTTTATGACCGAAGAAGAGGTGCCGTACCCCATGCCTTCCAAATAGAAGGTGAACTAGGTACCAGCTATATAAACAAAATAAGCTGTCGGCCTATTTAACTATTGTCTAAAGGTGGTTCGTGACTTTGACATCGATTTTTTACTTATAAATTTTAATATGAAAATTTACTAGATGCAATCCAACATGTTCCATGAAAATTATAAATTGATGCGAAATTTATTCGACCCAGTGGGGACCAAACCCACGACTTGTTGATTATTCGAAATAAAAGGCTACCATCGGACCATTGATCAAGAACTTGTTAAAATTTTATCTTACAAAAATACAAAAACTCGTAGTTTTATTTTGTTAGTTTTCAGTGGAGGGTTATTCATTTATAGAAACAAAAAGTGACCGACATTCATTTGTAATTGTTCACCGTTTACCAAACGATTTGAGCTTTCAGCGGCAAACGCGGAAAATCAGAGGCAGGCCCCGAAACAAATTCTTCTATTCAATCATCGACCGTACACAAAGGCCGGAGGCCTGATAACTGAACAATGAAATGTAACAAGTCGTCCGTTTGGCATTGTGCGGGGCGCTGACAGCCCCCACCCCTTCCATTATATTTCCATTTCCACCTCGATTCGAGCGACTTATCGCGGCCTACCTTGAGCTAGGTGAGTCTATCTTTCTATCCCGCTAGTCACCGGCTCTATACATCAATGTATAGCCGATTCACGCATTTATTTGTTTCATTGTTCGATTTTTTGACACAAGGGTTGGAGGTAAATTTTGTTTTCAAATTCGATGTAGGTAAGCTTTTCATACAATGAGCGAAGAAAATTTTAAGGCCCTACGCTATGTGAAAGATTTCTATGAACATTAAGTTAATAGAAATATTTTTTCGAATCGAATTTTAGTTATTTTAGGTATCGAGTCAACTTCAACCTTGGCTTGAAAAAGCTATCTAACCGGGACACATTCTAATGCATTTTTTGTGAGAAGATGAATTTGATGAGTTTGCATTCATTTGTTCCAGAGTAAACAGATGTTATGGTAAAACGTAAAATACGAAGAAACAAAAACAAAACTCGACCATCTCCACTTTACCATAACATGTTCTGAACCATACCATTTTCTCAAGCAATAAATCACTCATATTCCCACGTAATTGGTCAAACGATACTCCTTTAGGCTATAAATAATTGCGATATAAATATACATACATAGGCAGTTTATTGAAATGTTTAAAAAAGTTGTTCCTGCCTTAAAAAAGTTAAGTTTTTCTCTGTTTCTGGTATGCAATTCACAAACAAAGACGCAATTATCTACTAGATTGTCAATATCCAAAATTATATCCAATAATTTAAAATAAATAATACATAAAAAATAAAATGATATTTATTTAAGATATATATATCTAATCTCTCGATAAAGTCCCGGGCTAAAAATGAACATCGAAATTGATTGATTTTGTTTTAGTATTTCACTAAGCGTACGTTTTTCTTCAATAAAATAAATAGGATTATTCATTATATTGGTTAGGGTTTTTTTAATGTTTATTTTATTATCCGTTGAAGAAATATTTTTTATATTCGTCTGGAGTCAGAAATAAGCATGGAAAAGGCTTTAAATTTAATATTTTCAAATTACCAATGCCTATATTATGATCTTGACATAACTTCTCTTATATACAGTATACCGCTAAAGAGATATATTTTTGAACTCAGCTCGGTTAAACTATTTTCCGCGGTGCAGCAAAGTTTGAAAATAATTAATAAGGGAACAGTTTCAAGTGGGAGTAAGGACTTCAAAAGCGTTCTAAAGATAGCGTTAAGGGTTTGAGAATGGTATATGTCGGATGCTAAATACATTGTTAGCTACTGTTTTTCGAGTAAAAGTTTTTCTTTTCACTGTTTAAGTGATAGACGACGAAAGACTAAGGACCTAAAATATTAGAGATCTTTTTATTGAATGCATTATAAAGAATCTCAAGACCAGTATTTGTATATTTGCATTAAATCACCTCTTATTTGAATAATCTATTGAGTGAAGAAATATAACAAAAGATGGTGTTCAAATAATCTATTGAGTTAGGTATATATAAAATGTATATTCTATCATTTATCACATACCTCATTCTAAAATGTATTTTACAAAGAAACCATTAGTGTTAATTAATTAGACAAAGGTGATTAATTAATTTAGAATCTTCTACTCAATCAGCGCAGAAAACTTTACTCAATTTGTATCAATAAATCGTCAATTATCAAAGAACATTGTTGTCATAATTAATGTTGACAAACAAATTAGATACAGTTACGTTTCTGCCATTATTTGGCACGGAGTACAAAGCCAAAGTTGAAATCCATCTCTGCCTCATCAAACGTTCGGAATTAATTAACTTCCACAAACTTCGGAGCAGCTTGCTTCCAAGACTCGAGTATAAATTGGCAACTTCTATCTGCCAATGGACTCGGCACGAGAAGGGTTATGACATGGGTTCTTAACGAGGTGGTCCTTTATATTGATAACTATCTACTTAGAACTATATTGATATCTGATTATGTAGAATTTCCTAGTACTTTTCGATGAATACCAAAGTTTCTCTTTTATTCTCAAATATAATTTTTTATTTCTTAATTGAAAAAATTACATACCATTCTAATCGCCGCAACAATTACTGTGTAATTTTATGTTTTAAGAATAACAACACTACACTTAGCGCGCCTAGACAAACAGAAAAGAGGGTAGTTAGAAGTACTACACTTCGCGATCGCCGCACTTAAACTAAATTCAAAAATCAACTCGAAGTGCGATCTATAGATTACAATGAAGGCCCCTAAATCAAGCAAACAGCTCATAAATTAGCTCTCAGACAAATTCAGAAACAGTAGGAGCCGGTAGCGCAACTTGAGCGCGTATTGTTCGGCATCGGTGTCAGCAAAACAGAAGGTGAACGCTTTTGTGTCGGAAGTTGTAAATTTTATGAAAAGTGAAATTCCTTTTGAGCCGGTTAAGGCCATAAATAATCCGCGCACAGAAGGAATTTCATTGTTTCTGGCACTCATTGTTTCATCAATGCGGGAGAGATGCGAAAAGGTTCTAGCAAAAGCGATAAACGTTTGCTTTCAATGGAATGCGAAACTTACCGAATTGACTTCTCATCCAGGGATACAGTGGACTGGGTAATGAAGCATTGGTGTTTGGCGGCGCTTGTTGAGGCGGCGCTTGCTGCGCGTGCATGGATTGCTGATGCATGGGGGGCATCTGCGTTTGGTGCTGCATGTCGTCCACCGGGTACATGAGGTGCTGCTGGTGCGGGGGCACACCGTGCTGCACCATATGCTGTTGCGGGTGCATATGATGGGGCATCTGCTGAGCCTGCTCTAGCGGTGGACTCCCCGGGACGCCGCCCGCCGTCGCCGCCGCCGCTTGTAACTTACACGAAGTATAGACCGCTGGAGCCGGCGGTTGGTGACCGTTCGGGCCGTAGCCGTCCGTCTTGGGGCCCATGTGACCCATTTGTGACGGACTATCGGGCCGGTAGCCGTTCTGTTCCATTTGCTGGTAGTATCCCAACCTGTCGTAGGGAGGAAACCTGGGGTAGGGCATTCCCGGCGCCGTTTGCGCGGAATAATGGTGCTGGGCAGGTCTGAGCTGCGGATCGCAGCCGTCCATCTCGTGGCCTTGCTGGGGGACAGCTCCATAGTGCGCGTGCGCCTGTTGGTGGTCGTGTCCACCTCCGTTCCTCATGTCTGGCATGTAGGCGTTAGAGAAATATGTCATGCTGTCGCAATTGTTAGCGCTCATCGCGGGCCCGCAGCCCGCGCGGCTCGCGTCCGTATCTTCCGTCGCAGGTTCTCGGCCGCTAGGGCCGACACTATCACTTTATCAGTCACAAAAACACTTCGGATTCCATTCACTATACGGCAGCGATCGATCCTGGGGCTTCACGAGGTGCGAACGGACGGTGTCTCATCAGATGCTCGGCGAATCTGGAAAGAGAGTTGAATGCTCTTAGTGGATCTATTATTAAACCCTTTTTCGCGGTGTCACTCATCGCGACAGAATATTATGATTGGCATGCTCGCGGTGGAGTTCGAGGCGCATTTGGCCACGGATCTACAGACTAACATGTGTCCCGACATTAGAACACACATGATGTTAATAAACCGCATATCTTTCATGTAAACGCCTATTAGCAACCTGTTCAGGGGGCCCCTGCAGATATAGCATTCCTGTGTTTGAGAAACGTTCGTCTTTGTCTCGCCGAAGGAAACGGTTCCTCAAAAACGAGACAGGGATATGAAATACTGTCACGTCGAGCGGCTGACCCGTTGTCATAGCCTCGACGTCTCGAAGCAGTTGATGGAGCATGAGTGACAAGCGCGCAAGAGGCCGACGTAACCTTACGACGACGTTAATTTGTAATTCGAGTTGTGTATCACTGAATCTACAATTTTATCGCAGTATCTCACTTGACTGCTTGTAATGTACACAATTTATGGCGTACTTAAAACGACAGCTACCGGAATTCACTAAGAATAAAAACTAGTCACATAATACGAGTAGCGATAAAAGCGAATTCCTTAAATTTATCTTCATAGCTTTGTGAATTATAATACTGTATTATGCTGCTATTCGTTCCCGAGACTCATGCTGAACTACGTAGACGTCTTTAAAAGGTTATACAGCGAAATTTTCGATATGGTTTGTTAAGCATTTTCCTTAAGTAAAAAATCTACATAGCAAAGCACTGGGTAGTGATACCCGCCCCTCGAACGGAGGCAAGTTATTTAAAACTCAAAAGCTCAAGCTTCATTAGCGACAGTTAATGATGGCGGCGTCTCTCTAGACAATATGTTCCTTGCAGATGTTATTTGTTACGAGGTTACTGAGTAAATAATACGCTAAATCCAACAGTGTTTATTGTGAATGGAAATTTCATTTCAGTGTTTACACGATCCCGTCTGGTCGATTGATCGTCGCTTTACAGCTTTGATACAAAGGAATCAAAGTAGAAAATATAAACGGTATGCAAATAATAATTGCGAGCTACATAAATGTATGAGCTTATAAATTCATAAGCGTTAATACTTCACAGTAGGTCGGAATTGAAAGGCTCTCGGAAAATTTGCATGTTGAGGGATGGACAATTTAAATTTACGATTTCGCCGCGCTCCCCAGGCGGGTGGAACCCCGAATTTTTTTAATTTTCAATTTCCATTTACATTCCGGCCACTAGCGTCGTAGCTGTATAAATATATGATGAAAATGTTCATTAAAACCTTGGCATCGAGGATAGCATCGGGGGTCGCAGCTGCATATTCGCAATAATTAAAATTCAAGACATTTTCTTTTTACACTATAGATACTTTAATTACAGCAAAAAAGTGTTCTAAGTGCAATTAAAGACAAAAAGACCTGGATACTTCTGAACAGGTGGACAATTAAGGCTAATATATGTCTAAATATCACATTGTGTTTATCATACGTGTGTCAAACAAGCATTGTGAAATCCCCCCCCCCCCTCGTGGGGCATGGAGCGAACGCATACTTGTGTCCGTTTCACTGATCCGTTATTTAACAGGCAAGTAGTTGATCAGACTTCTGTGCCCTGCCCGACCGAAACATTTTTTTGTGTCCCTGGGATTCAAACCCAGGACGTTTCGCGCTTAATGCCATGCTAGACAATACGTTTAGCCATTTGGCTACGGAGGCGGTCATCTTATCATATCTTACAAGCATTGTTCAGTTATATTTTTTACACAGAACGACATTTTCATGTTTAAATATGAACGAAACGAAATGGTAACTGATCACAAAAACTCGATATAAAGCTTATAAGAGTTCGCGTCCCAGCTAAGGGGTTTAACCTTCACCGGCCAAACAAAACTGGTCGGTGTCATGTGAGCTAATCTGAAATAGTTATCATTAGATAAATTACATGTAACAGTTCTCCGTACCTAGAAGATATGCTTTTTTCTGTCAGCCAGCGATTCTAGCCCGCAATTACTGGGTTAAGATAAAATCTTCGACCCGGTTCAGGGAACTTGTCTTTAAACTGACCGACGAGGAAATTAACAGTCTCACGTGCTTTTGATAACCTGCTTTGATTTATTACTAGTTGAGTCAGGCGCGATGTTTCTCATGCCCTTTCCGAGGTAGGTAAAGTCTCGTGTAATTAGTTAAGCAATTTGGCCACATAAAATAATAAAATGAGTCATAACTGTAGGACACGTAAAAGTGACACTTAGGTACGTTTAAAACACGATGCATATCGGTTAATTTATTTTAACTACGACAAACCTACAACGTGTATAAAACATCCATAGTCACTTAAACCCATGGTGACTTGATTATTATATATTTATATTGAGTTTTAAATAAGTTACAATTTAATATTTACTTACTACTTACTATTAGAGACTAAGTTTTGACGATATTATTTATCTTTTTTTTTTAATTAAACACTTTAACGGTTTAAAACGCGATATATTAGTTAAACTTATTTGGAAATGATTTTTAACTTCAGCCAGACGTTTCGGATGCTTTGCAGCAGGCGTGGTCACGGGGAGTCTCCCCCGTGACCACGGGGAGAGTTAAAGTGTTTTATTTAAATGTGTACTACTCGCGTAAACTATAGACAGTATTTGATATTAGTTATCGTCAAAACTTAGTCTCTATCAGTGTTATTTTTATGAGAGAGTAGATGATAAAACACAAATTTCTTATTCTGGAATTGACATATCCTTAAACTTTATACTAGCGAATCGTAAGTAAGAAACTTCTTACAGTGTTTTCTGGGTAACGTACTTATTCATACATGTAAAACAAGTAAGCATTTTCCTGTCGCTACCAAATAAATGTACAATAAATATACCTGCAACTATTAGTAAAATGTAATGTTAACATCGAAGAAGATGTAGAAAGTGACAAAGAGGCACACTTCAAACGATACATTTTAATAAATTACCTCCACTATAGTTCTGTATGAAAAATTTTAAATAACCGATTTATGAAATAGTACAGATAAATTATAAGAGATGTGCCAAGTGAGGTTTGAACAGCTAAAACTTAATTTTCACCGAAAATTCGGTTGCTAAAATGTGACCTTCGTTTCGGTATATAATTGTGAGGATATTCAATGTATTTTTGCGCTAAATTTCGTCAGTTAAATCAACCGAATGTTAACCGAATCTCCTATAAATTATACATAAATATAGTGAATTAATAGACTGAATATTAAAAATAACATGAGTACCGTTTCGCTGCGGCACACGGCAGTTCTTAATCAAATGACGATCAAAGAGTGTATTTTGGGAGAATATCTGACGTTTGTATATATCATTTCCACTATTTGTCAATTAGAGCAGCTATTGTTGGAATAAAGTGGGCATGATTTATTTTAGTACTGAATTCGTTTCGACTTAGACGCGGAAGATTATTTTTGATTTATACCATCTCTAGTTATTTGTGAAACGATAAGATATTATTTTTGAATTGTTTTTGATAGCCGATTATGATTTTTATAAAAATCTTGGCGGTTGCTGCATAGTTTAAATAACATAGAGAGCTTTAATCGGTACTTTTTCTATATTTTGTATTGGATGTCAAACCTGATAGAGAGTGAATCAAATAGTTAAATTCCGATACTTCAATAAACTGGTTTTGTAAAAAAAAATTTAAAACGACGTGATCGATGTCTTCACAACCAAGTAGTTCATAAAATTTCTATGCTTCGCCAAATCAAAAAAATTCATTGTTTCTCCGAAATTCAAACCCAGGTGTCATCGTGCAATGCTAAACAACGCGTTTAACCACTGCTGCGGATGCAAACTCAACATTATACACTGACTTATTTAATTGTTTTTTACATACTCATTATGAAAGCCGAAAGTCTTAATTAAAAAACACAACGGGCCTGAAGGCATAATGTCGTATGAAATTTTATGTTACATTTTTCTATATCATCAAACTCGCTAATCACCCCCAAGAGCGTATACGGCGTGTGACGGGCTGAGTGAAATCCTATGTACAGCCTTAATTACTCTACCCAAGTTCATAATTAAATCAAGCAAGTTATGCAAATTTCATTGTACTCGCGTCGTGATTTTTCTGACGGAATTGCGACAGATTTTTAGGATAACGACGTAATTATAATGGTCGCTTTTATATATTTAAAATAGGGTCATATTTTAAAAGTAATTGTTACAAAATATCATTTAGTTAGCAATTTATTCTTGCCAATCTTATTATAATTGCGTTGGTAATAAAAGAATATAAAGTACATTGCATTGCTAGTATTGGTTTAATTCAACTGTTTATAGTTTGGAAAGATCTTCCTTCGTAACTAAACGTAAATATTTCACATCGCAAACACGCTGACATTAGACTAGTCGATTCACTGTAGAGTATACTCATTTTTTTAAAGCAAATGGTAAGTATGGTAAGTAGATAACCAGACCTATGTACGCAAACCGATAAAATATTTTTCTGCTTTCCTGAAATTTCAACCCAGGACTATTTATTCTTAACATGTTGCCAGGGAACCATTAGGCTATAAAGACGTTCGTAAAAGCGTACACCTAAATACTTCTATTACTGATATCAGGTAGTTCGAAAATAACAGTTAAAACAGTTGGACAACGATATTTGTAACGTGTATATTAAAAATAAATCTAAGAATAGATACAATCAATCGTATGAAAAATAAATATTTCAATGTCATTATTCAATCCTTTACGGAGCCAAGCCTGGTCGGAATGTCCGGCATTTTGATTGCGTCGCATTTCATTGATAGCTCTGTTTGATTGCTAGATTCCTGGTACGTGTTGCGGGCGAAAGATGGATGATAACGTAGGTATTACGTGTTTTAATTACTACGTTTACGGGGCCATTGTAATAATTCAACTGACAGAAATGGTCTCAATGATCAATTTGATTGTCCGGAACGCGAATCCTGGACCTGGAGCTTAATGCTATCTTGCATAACGCTTTGCATTTAACTAGATAGGTACGGAGATGCTTCGCTCAAACATATGTTACGAATAAAGACTATAAGAAATACATTTATCTTAAGTTTTTGTAAGAGCGCATTTATTTTTTTATTTACTTCTTATGTCTTTCTTAACCTATTGACAGCCCTGGACCTTATTACCCCAAGGAGGCAGAAAAAATCTTAACTAAATACGATAAATGTTATATTAATAGTGATAAAACGCTCACCAGCTTGACAATAGCTATCACTTTGCGAGTAATGTTTGCCAAATTACATAAATGAACGCAGTGCAATCATCTCATACCCTGTTCACGGTATTATTGCAGTTTAATTAACATTGCTATCATACCGACTAATTGTTATACCACGCTGATGTGATTTACGGCTTGATGTAGAACAGACACCTTTACATTACTTATTGCTTGCTGATTTGTTACTACAATAATTAATTGTTATTTAATTGCATTTACTGACAAAGAATTTTAATTATGTACAAAATGTATTAGTTTCATATACTACAACTTTATATAAAGAAGGTAATTTTGTACAGAAAATAGGCCTACTTAAAAATTCCGTAGTTTTTAAAAAATGTACATACTTAACTTAGCGCCATCTATAATTTTATTGCCGAACTACAACGATACGTGTTAACTTGTTAATCAAGTTACAAGTTACACGTTGACTAATCAAAGCCGTTTCGTCTTTAAATTTAATTTTGTGGACACAATAATATTATTTACATGACATAGTAAATACAAAACTCTTTGGATTGATATCTACTACACAATTTTAAATATTCAAACATATGTTTTATGTATGAAGTATTTACTTACACAAAAAATATCATTTTATCCATCATGTGTAGCGATTTTTTATAATAAAAGTCAATAGAGACAGTTTATCAAACAAAAAAATCATTGCTGGTTCCAAATAATTAAAAGTTATTAATACATTTTGTCATCAATAATAACAATATTATACTTCAATTAAACATTTTAAAACTTTAAATTAACACCATCTTTTCAAAAATAGTGGAACTATCAAACTTAAAAATATAAGGTCGTATGTTACTTTTAAGTTTAAAAGAGACATCTGTTGACGAGTAGATCAATAACACAAATGCTATACGATCCTAGATGACACTATTCATATTCATTTGTAGATACTATTTTTTCTTTAATTTTGTTGCTATCTTACTAAAGAAAAGACATTCACAAATAACACACACATTTTACCGAATTGATGTGTATATATTATGATTTTTATAATTCTAATAAGTGACTATTAGATATAGCTTCTTCCTGTAAGAATTTTACAAAGTCAAGTAGAAATTTAAAATGTTGATACCAATTTATTCTAATAAGTAAGATTTTGGGGCCCCTATGTTAAGAAGTATGCTTTTTTACTTTTTTATGTTATTGATAATAATTAAATGCAATAAGAAACACATCTATCTCGAATTTTGGTTATATAATGTTATAACTAAGATTTGATAGTGTTATCACTACCACTACTAGTTAAATTTCTAATGCTTAATTTATACAAATGTTTTCTTCTTATTGACCAGAGCCAAATGAAGTTAGATCGTTGTGTTCTGTTTAAAGAGTCATTAAATTAAGTGCAGTATTTTAAAAGCCTAAAAAAAGTTTGTAGTTACAATCTTAAATAAGTAGTTTTTTTTTTTATTGTTCAGGATAAAATTTTTATTTAATATCGGGGGTAACTTGTTATATAGGTAAATTTTTGCCATTACGTTGTTTTTTTTAAACGAAATAAATTTCAAATATGTAGTTGTATGAAATACTTCGGCCAATCATCTAACTAAATAATAAACCATATTCTAAATCTCCAAATTTCCTTCAATTGATTAAAAAGCATAGATTTGCCAACAAAGCCAAACTTAAATCTACAAGCGAACGGAAAACGGCCGTTCGACAGGGACGGATCGAAATGAGAATCGTCGGGATTTTTTGTGCGATTTTTTCGACGTTATTATTATGAGAAAAAATGCGGAGTCAGTAAACCGAGACGTGGGGTGGGGGCATGACGAGGGTTCCCGATTTGATTGGAGCGGGAGGGGCGGGGCGGTGACGTCACGCACTCATAATAGGTCGTGCAGTGATGGCCGCCGTATATCAAGAACGAGTGTTAGTTCTGCATTTGGATTTTATTAGGTTGCACTAACGCGGATTGTCGAGTCTCTACAGACTACACTCGACACTATGTACTTATTTAAGCTTATTACGTAGTTATGATTCTATTTTAAATCAAATCTAGTTATTAAAGTAGTCATTATATTATGAATTAGTTTTTTTTATATATACTTAATTATCATGCCATTACATACTTAATAAATAAACGTTATCATTCAACTTAGAATATATAGCAGCTATAAGGTGACTTAACTTAACTTTTATGTATTCTGAAGGAAATAATATTTAGTCTTGAGTATATTATTTAGATATTAAGGATGATCAATAAATATTCTTTTTATTTTATGTAGAACAACACTAATCAAATTAAATTGAATGGACATATATAGTACATAGTTACCTTTAACAATTTATAATAGATCATAAACAAGATACCTACGTTACAAGTATCGATATAAAGTAAGTGTGGAAATTCTTTATTGGCTTTCCGTATAAAGAAAGATACCACAGATAATGGCTGTCTATATTACAGGCTAAAGTAATTCATAATACGAAAGTCATAGTAAGTAAGGCTTGCGTGCGTGATGGGCGGAGCGAATCGCGTGTCGCGGAGCAGTTATCGCGGGAACACCTCGGCACGGCACATCACTACGCCTATTGCTGGCTGGTGGTGGTTGCATTCGAAATTTGAAATTACGAAAATTCCCTTCAGGAAGTGTGTATTCTTGTTGCTACGGCTTTTGTTGGCTCGTTGATTCGAAATTCAAATGCTAAATTTCGAAATACATTTTTCATTTGTATTTTCACTATGTAGTCGTAATTAAGCAATTCTATTTTTAAATTCTTTAAATTTTCGTCACTTTTAACTAGAACAGGTATTTATGCAGTAGTTAGGTGAATTGCACAAACATATTACGTAGTAGGTACATACCTAAGAGTTCTTATTAGTCATTAAAAAAAAAATACCCAAAAGACCAGAAATATTCGCCCTCTTTGACGTCAATTGTCTATTAAATTAATGCTATAAAATGTTTTCTCTATCTTTAATTAAAATTTGAATTAATCACGAAGCTGTTACATTTGATAATTAATTGTACGATGCGTCATAGAAATGACTTGTCTACCTCTATCGTATCTTTTAGACCCGCCGCTTTGAGGGACAATAATAATATTGACCAAAATGTGATTATTGTAAGGTAATTTTAACGCCTGATTAGTCAAATAAACTCCAAAACGAACAAGACAAACAAATTAAATTACTTAATACTGTGTAAAGTGTGTGTTTACACAGTTGCTACTGTGTCTCGTTAAACATGTTGTAATGAGCACTTACTTTGTATGTCCAACCGATATTCTCTATAATCACTACTAGTTTACTTGTATCACCTCTGTTTTTGCAGACTATTATAATGTCAAAAATAAATTTGAACAATATTTTTTATCAAGCGACCCTGAGGCTTTAACTACATAAGTTGTATACCAAAAAGAATTTTTAACAATTGGCAAATTAAAACTGACCTCCATTTTGTTATGTAATTTGGGTTTCAACCACAAACCCTTATCTGTGATTTATACTGGAGGTGGGCGATTATAAAAATGTGATCCCTCAATCCAAATTGTTTGTATCCTTAGTAAGAGGTATTATTATAAAAGGTCAAATTGTCTGGGTTTTTGTATTTCATACCGGTTCCGCCTGTGGGCTAGCGAATACATTTTTGTGTCCGTTTTACCGATCGAATTAAAACGGAAGTTTAAATCGATCTGAATAAAATCAAGTTTCTTTGTTATTCAATTTAATAATAAACCGAAAGATGATAAAATATCTAATGATATTTAAACCAAAATCAATACTTTTAGCATAAGGTCGAACATTTAAGCGGTAAAACTCCTGCTTTTCCTAGGATTATTAATAATAATAATTTAATGGTACAAAAATTTTGTACGTACCTACTTGTATGTAGGTACTACACTAAATTGCCTTTCTTTTTGTATTTCCCCTTACGTTGACCTACCAGGCAATTGCCTGGAAGAGATCGCCGTTTAGCAATAAGGCCGTCTTTTATTTTATAAGTTAGTTCATAATTTTTTTATTCACGTAAACGAATCCTGTGGTCTTTATAATTAATAATGTTCAATAAATAAGCGTAGTTTTTCTTACATGGGCATTCAATTTTTTTTTGAAGGCAGACAGTAGTGGAAAACTTCCAATGAAACAATTAATAGTCAAGTTTCAGTCACGATTAACTTAATTGTCAACAAGTCCAATCTATAACAACAAGGCCGTATTATGTATTGTTCGAACTTCAGCTGCCCGATGGAACCAGCTTCGATTTGCATACAATACAAATTATTTTGTCAACTTGTATTTAGGCTATGAAATGATGTACGCGAATAGCTGTTTGAATTTCAACAATAGCTTCAAGCTACTAGAGAATGTTATCAAACGAAACTCTTACTAATTAATATGTAGGGACAATGAGATCAATATTATTACACTTATTTAGATTTTTAATTTCAATACTGTAAGTCTCTAGTATTATCATTTTATACACAGTAAGTAAACTTAGGTGTTAGTCTGGTTGTATGAACATTAGACTCTTTGATAGTATTCATATTATTATATATGATAGAGGAGGACAGATAAGCGTGGATTTCACTTCTAGATTACTTCAACTTATAGATCTAAACAAATCGCTTCGATATTTTAGCGGATATTCGAAATCCAAACTAAACGAACCCGATTAAGCTTCAAACTGCTGGATGGAATTCCTATTCCTACACCTATTTAATATCAGATTTGAGAGAAACCCACGACAATTTATCATTAGCCACTTGTAAATAGACGAGCCCGTCGAATTTATATTTTGTGACTCTCTCGTGCCGGTATGCTCTAGAACCATTTAGAATTATACATGGTGTATTATTATTATACATGTGCAATGTAAAAAGGATTCAAGCTATCAACGTTATTTATTAATATATAAACGTCAGTACTAGTAACTCAACTACTAGCTAATAAATATTATCTACTCATTTCATATTCATTAATATAGGCAGTGCACCTGTTTTAGCGCAGTGGGCATTCTACTTTTACATATGTGATGACGTTGCCACCTTTAAAAACGGGACAAAAAACTACACTGTGTAATCGTTGACATAAAAATTGATGGTCTGTTTAGGGTTGCCCTATAATTTGTTAAAATAATGTGGAGTACATTTTATGATATTGTATGAAATACAGAAAAATGTCAATAAGATACAATTCAACGAGTATAGTAAGTAGGTACCTACTGTTGTTTAACTAAAATATTTATGAACATATACATAGGAGTCAGTAGTAAGTGGTGTGGGGTTCGAATCGCAGAAAAAATACGAAGCAGAGACATGGAGTTTAGTTTGCGTTTGTGATCTGTTAAATCAATGTAAATAGTATATGTTTTGTTCTGTTACTCTACACTTTTTTTATCAGATTGTTCGTTTCAATATCAAGAAAAGTTTATAATATTTTTAGGCCGCCTGAAAGAAGAGTTAGCTAAATAAATAAGAGAATACCTACAAATCGAATTAATGCCTCAATAGTAAAACCTATCAGAATTACAAAAAACCTTTTCCTTAAAAGGCCTGTTTTATACGAAAATGGCTTTTAAAGTTCCGATACTTCAAAGCCGCGTCAAGATTAATATTCAAAACGTCGGTCGGATAATTTTACAAATTCGCCGTACAAACGAGCGGGTGTCCCGAGACCTATAATACACATTAATATCCCCGACTTCTCATGTCAAACCGGCAATTCTCGGCAGATTATCTTTATTTTGCGATAATTTATCAACGTAACGTAATTCGCTCGTGTCAGCTTTGTGACTCATGTTTTATAAACTTTAAGGCTTGATATGCTATTGTGTTTTGACATTCTTATCCGGTTTAAAAAGAAAGAGTTATTATACGTTACATAACTCTAACTCTCTTTATTTATTTATTTTTATTTGGTATCCGCCGCGGTTTCGTGAACGTTCTAGAACTGCAAGGTTTTGGATTCGAAAACGGGAGGAGCGTTATAAATATTTTGGGTATCCGATGTCTGTTTTATTTAAAAAAAGAAGATACCTACTTGAACTAGTTTCCCAGTCCTTAAGAGTGATCTCGTCTGTAGTTTACAAATTTAAATAAAACACTTATTTAGCGTTTTATATGCGAAATATATATTTAAATTATTTTTATTTATTTCAAATAACCTTTGTAATACCTTAACAAAACATAGGGCGTTTCTATTTTAGTAAAAAATTATTAAAATTACTACTATTAAAATTAATGGACGATATTAGCATAAACGTTTATAAATATAGAATTCATAATAACAGCAGTTAAAAAGTAAAGAATGCCTTATTAATCATTTGACTGATGATGACATAAAGAAAACGTGTTTAAATTGACTAACGAAAATGTTTGGCTTAGTTGAAAACGTAGCGCGAGAAGTCTTGGGTTTAAATCACACGACTGTTAGTGTAAACCATCATCCTGATTGAAATTGTGTCTACTCTATTCCTCGATTAATAATATACAATATTGAACCTAAGTTAGTTTCATTAAGGTCAAAATTATATTGAATACAATTCAAATTAAATTTCGCACTTTAAATTAATTAGTTGGTTCAGTGGTAATGCAACGGCATGGTACACCAAGTTGCGGGTTTTATAACCTTTCGTATCATCAATTTAGTTTAATAATTAATAATTTTTAGACAATCACGTTGTTCATTTGATGTTCACTAGTTGAAAAACCTCAATCCTATAGAATATTCCTCTAACTTGACATGAGATGTTTCAGACATTAAAAGATCCACAGACAAAAATTTAAACGTGATAAAATTTTACAACTTTTTCATCTTTGGACGGTGGTTCGCGAGCCGGACGGTAGTTTGATATTTCCAACGCAAATTTTCCAGATGAATTCGAATTTGATTTTCAAAGTTTAAAGTCTTTCACTTAAAAGAATATTAAAAATGTATTAAATAAATATGTTAGACACTTTGGATGTCGAACCCGCGACCCTTTGCTTAAAACATTACTACTATAGGATTAACGAGCCAGTCCACATATATTAGGAAATAAAAACGTCATGAATATCGAAAGTTAATTAAAATATTAAATGAGGCTGTTTTGTCTGTGGGAGCTAACAACTCTTACAAATGATATTAAATTAACGATACGTAGGTGGGCGTTATCTTTTCAGTTCTGTTTCAACAATGAATTAAACTTCGATTGAAGTTCAATCAATACTTTTTTTATATATTCTTTATAGGGTTTGTCTATAATGATTTAAAAATAATTAGGTAACAATATTTTATTTTATGAGTTTATAAAATGTATAAAAGTCATAAATTCAATCTACATTTATCAGTTAAAACTTGTGTTTTACTTTATTAAAAGTTGAAATAATACTACCTATACTTATAAATATATATTCCTTTAGAGATTCTTAATTTATCATTCTTATATGTTTAACTTCAAATTCGTAATGTTGTTGAATTAACTTAAAGAAAATATTTTAAAATTTTAATTCGTTAAAGTAATAAAACACACTGGTCCTACTATACTAAAAACAAATTTAAATTATAAAGTCACAATCTATACAAATAAATTAATGTTTTCGTTGCTGGCCGTAACTTTAAGGAATCGTCGAGGAAGTACCTATAGGTATGTTGTTGTTGGTTTTGATAAAATAATTGACCGATGGCACTGAATGCTCTGACGTCAGTAGAAAGGGCATTTCAATAACATTCGCTTACCATTCCATCGATCTGCAGTTTACATAGCTGTTTTAATAGAAAACGAGGGAAATATTGAGACTATAGAACGTTTACAATTACAAATACAAATAAGTACGATTAGACGCCGATATATATAAATTATAATAAAAGATTATCATTTTTTAGAAAAAGCTGGCGTTCGTGAAAAATTATTCTAAAGGATTTTCAATGTTGAACGCTCCTTATTTAATATAAAAATACAATTATAAGGCTATCTTAATATTTTAGTTAAACTCTTAATAAAATTGTAACATAGCAACGAGACATTCTTTAATTTCTGGGCATTAAACGAATCTGCGTTTGAAATATGGTTATTTCATTACTTTATTAACATAATTTGTTTGTTTAAATAATACTCTTCAAACGGTTTATGTGAGAAGCAAGTAATTATATGAATTTCGTGTACAGTCGTGTGACAAAACTTCATCCATCGCATAGGAATTCTAAGGGCGTGCCGAATGCATCAAAAAAGCCGTCATGATTTCACTAACTTAGAAAGTCGTGATTTCCCAGTCACGGCGCAATATCGCATCATCTCTTGCTACACATTAAAATCTTACATGCAGCCCACTTTATTAGGCAGCCGAAAAAGCAGTCCATTAGATGGTCAGCGTCAGATAGCGGTGAAAGGTACCGTTAGAATAATAACCCCTAGTGCGACGTTACATATTTCGTGAGGTAAATACGATTTCAGCAAGAAAAATAATGTTTCTCACTTCTAATTTGCTATGCTAATCTCGCTGTTTTGTCTATTTCTGGATCTAAAAGCGGAAACTATTATTACGCTTTCTGTTATCCATTATGTCGATATAATTAGAGATTTAGCTATAGCTATGTCAACCAAACACAGTTTGTTTTGAATTTCATCATTTACACTAATTTAACTTGTCTAAGAATTGCTTCTTTTAGCATTCAACAACTGCTACTAATTAGACACCTTAGAAGATAAAAAAGCTTAATAAGACGTCAAGTATCTCCATATAATGCCTAAGTAAAAAATGCCAAATATTAACTGGCTGAATACAAAATAAGCAGTCTTCTTTAAAAATGTTTTGTATGTTGCAGTTGTCCTATTAATAATTTATGTAAAACGGAAACTGAGTTGGGTACCCAACTATAGGATAAATTATTGTCACACTAACCTTTAGATTTAAATTCTATATTGATTAAGCCACTTTAAAATATATACCCTTGAGTAATTATTACGCCTTAATGTAGTTAGATATTTAAACATCTATGGACACGTGGATGGTAGTGGCATATTGCAAAAATAAAAAGTTTCGAAACACCGAAAAATATAATTGTAATAAGAACATTATTTTGTAAGAACTTGTGAAATATAACCCCAATTAACGGTTTCAAAATATAATTAAAATGAAATAGAACCATAATTTGAAAAAAATACGAGCTAGAAATAAAACGGCCTATTTTGAACAAAACAATTTCCACTGTCACACCTCGCTGATTATTCTATTAAATTAGCATTTTACATAATGGCTTTTGGTAAATTTAATTTAAATATTATTTTCTTATCGGACATGGCACAAAAACCTTGGGTTTCCACCAGTTAGGCAATAACGAAAAAATAGATAAATAATAATTAATTTAGGTCTACGCAAATTACTACAATCGAGTTTAAAATTTAACTTTTAAATAAGTATGTGATAAAATAATCCTGTTATTTTAAATTCAATGCGATTTAAATATTTTCTATTCAAATAAATAGAAAAACTCTTTGTACGCCAATTGTTTGTTATAAAGTCCCAACTGTACATTTTTAAACCTATTTTTTTGTGCATACTACCTTCAAATTACCGATTAGTTTGTATAAAACAACGAACGAGATTGTATGAATATTGGTATTAAAGAAAACATGACTCTAATATTTAGTTGTATTAAGTGAAAATTAAATGCCAAAGAAAAGTAAACATTAGCATCATTTATCGCTAATCTTAATGCAATATAACTTATGATTACAATCAATTCGCAATCTTGATGCAGAACCCGATCTATGTGACCTTTAAAATAATTATTCATTCGCGCCAAGGATATCGATAGATCTTAAATATTAATTTCCTATGTAACCGACTCAAATAATTAATCTGCCAACAGTAAAATTAAATTTAACAGTAGGGACAGTAACACTAAGTTCATAATATATATGTTACCAATAAGTGTATTTCTGTGGGGTGTTTAATTTTTTATTTATTCTGTGCACAAATATTTTAATACATAGAAACATGCATCACCTTTACTGAAAAATATAACACAGTAGCTCAACAACCGATAGAGCGATAGAACGCTGTTGTCGTGGATTCGAGTCCCAGTTGGTCATTAAGATTTTGTAATGAAAAATCTATATAAACTATCAGATGCACTCGAAAGATGATATTTAAGAATGAAGCAAAAAATAACTAAATATTTACGATGTCATTTTTGCATTGCTGTTTATAAAAATATGGAATAAATAGGTAGGTATGTGCGGTAGGTACCTACATACCTACCTATCTGGAAATCTTTATTAATGACAAAACTAAAAAGGTATTAACATATTACGGTTAATTATAATGTTTTCTTCTTATGTTTATCATTATGTAAGTTCTCAAGAAAAAAAAGAAAAGATGATTAAAAAGGCGGTGGCAAAACTCAGAAAACGTCTCTATTTCTATCTTGGGCTTTTTGATTAATTACCTGGGATCCGGTACCTGTCTTCGGCGACTCCTACAAAGACCTCAGACACAATGAGATTTTAATATGTTCATTTTTATTAATGTCTGTATTCACTTTGGTGGCGTGTGCGTACCTTTATATACAAGATAATTAGTTATATAATTACTTTAATTTACCGAGACATTTATTTTTAATTTTTATCTTATTTTTTCAGTCAAAAATTGGTTGAGTTTTGAAAATTAGATATTAATTACTGTATAGGTATTTAAGAAAGTTTTAGTAAGTAGCTAATTTTGTTAATAATACAATAGTTTTTGATAGTGTATGGTATATATATGATTATTTAGGTTGTAAAGCATTCTTATAGGAAGTTAAATAAATCAATTATATTCTTATATTGCATAGAACCCTCTGGCAAAATGCGCTGTGTAAGATAATTAAAAGCTAATGTAAGTGTTATAGAAATTAATGCCCACAGTCTCTATAAATATTTAAGAAATTTAACCTATGACTTAAATTTTATTTAGGCACTCATATAAGGAGACAATTATTACAAATACTTCCTAATAGGTAAATATAATGCTGTCAAGATTCCTTTGCAAATTTACTTATAACATGATGTTTACGTTTATTTGTGAATCAATAGTTAAATGTGTAATCTTATTAGATAAACATTTTAATGGAAATATTTAAAAAAATATTTTTTTAATTAAAAAAGAACAGATTTCAGCGAATAAAATGTATCTCTATTATTTATTTACTTACCAAGCCGCGAAATTACAAAGATCCCGATACAATATGTACACTAAATAAACCATAAATCTTGCAGACACTTTGTAAACAAAACGAGCACTAAAAGAAAAGTTTTCAGTCACCGAATGTTACATCACATAAAACTCGATCACTGGAATATATCGAATATCATCTTTTTCTCGCCATAATTAATTGAAACAGTTCAAACGAGGTCATCACGGTCCAGTTTATTTTTTGCACTTATTAAGTGGTATCATTCCGTCTAGTTGGGACCACCAAACCGCGGGTAATATTTTATTCATACCGTTACCCCTCAAGTTGATTCTCAACGAAGCGTATCTAATTGAGAGCATGATAACTTCGATGAGAAAAAAATGTCACAGGCCAATCGGAATTCTGTCATAGTACATAGACGTCGAGAGCGCGCGAAAAACTCTACGGCCAGCGGAGTCCGTAGCGCGCGCGCCTACGGATCGAAGTTTTTCTAGAACGCAAACTGTCAACTATTCCACGAAATTACGCTCGTTTAATGAACGTCTGAGCCCGCATTGAGCTAGCTGTCAAATCTACGAGCCGTCATAGTCCGCTGCCATGAGTGGGCACGCACACACGCGACCGCCGCGTCCGATAGACACCACTACACTGGCAATTTCCAGCGGAGCACGAACGCGAGCACACTCACAAGCGAGTCTCGTGAATCATACGCTGTACGCGTCAGTGTTGGCGCGGGTGGGAGTGCGAACACGCTGCGTGCTTTTAGCTCGGCCAGACGAAATGATGCCTAACTGCAAAAGAGAACGTGAAGTGTATCGGTTTTACAAAATGGCCGGTTATGATTGAGCACCCGCGCCTATGCTGATCCCGGGAGATTAGCGAAATGCGTGTGAATGCAACGCCACGGACGGGCGGGAAGCGCAAGAGATGCGTCCTCGTTCACTGCGATCGGAATCGAACGAATGATCTCTTATTTAACATCCTCGGGTTATAGAGGCGTTGAGTAATTAAATGATTAATTCGAGATGCGCTATCGAGCGGTATTTTATTTAACTGATATTTACTTCGCGTACGCTTACCTGGAACAATAAAAAACAAACATTAACGCAAGAATAAAACAATCAATTACGATAAAAATAAGTGAATCACATCGCATGTTTACATTTTGGAATGTCGTAAAATAAAATACTGTCGAGTTATCGGGGAGGAGAAAAATCCAAGTCATCGCCTTCTTATCGTCGACCTCGGAACATCTGTTCATTAGCTTAGATAGCGCGGGTCAGCTGTGTTTGGAAAGAGATAAGTGGGTCACTGCAATGAGGAACTTATGTCAAGTTCAATGATGTATTAGATATTTCGCGAGGTTCGACGAGACATCTCGGCCGCGGCGATTTCGGCAAAAAATTAAAGACGTCCGCAACAAAGTTGATAATGTATGTAATCGCACACTAAACGATTTATTTTACGATCGACGTACTAAACGGTTAAAGGCGGTAATAACCATCAATCATGAAAAAACAACGTTAACGCAGGAATATCAGCAAAAAAACATTAATTAAAATGATAATAGCGCAGAGCAAATGCACTTCGAAGTCGAAAGCTCCATAAACAAAAGTTGAATAGAATTAATAAAAATTAATTTATTGCAACGCTATCTCGGTCCGCATATTAAATATTATTGTTTTGATAAAAATTGGAAAACAAACAGGTCAATGGATGGCGCTTTCTAAGTAAAATAGACAAGTTCATTATAATATTACGAAAATATTTTAATTACAACAATGTATTATGCACTACAATAATAACGTAGCCAGTACAAAACTAGCATATTATATATAATCAATTGAAATTAATTAAATTACATGCATTTTCATAATATGAACAGATGTGAAGGCAATGAAACATACCTATTTACAGCCTCAATGGTCAGCGGAAAGAATCGTACAAAATAATTGGTCACTCTATACACTGACAAAAGAATAAAGAATTATTGTTACATAAAATCAAGAGCCACTCAACGGCCATAATGAAGATGTTAACAATTTTCTACGTCTGCCGAATGATGTATCTACCGTGAAATTTTGGAAAATAGACCCCGGCAACTTTGAACCGTCCCGCGAGAGTTATTACATTAATATATTTACCAAACACGCTCCTATTATTACGTTTTCATGTACTCGTTTGCGCATAAATTAAAAGCATGCCAGTTTTTCTTTTGTCCCGGACCCTCATTTGCTATTCATATTTGATATTTTGATAATACAAAGGGACGACGCGTTTTGAAAACACGACGTGTTCATAACATTGGTGGAAACCTGTTTCGCGAGCAATGTATGCTGAAGATACAAATTGTGAAAGAGGCAATCGTTCATGCGATATTTCTTATTTGCCGTACTTAACATTCAGGCTATATTGACCTTTTTTACTCTTGTCTTAAGCGTTTTATTCAAATGACGTCGGAACCGTCACTTCAATTATGGTCATACAGAATGATATATGAGTTAAGTGAGGGATATTAAAGGACATCGGGGTTTGAAATGTTAGCTACAAAATATGTACAGCATCGATGCACCCTTTTTAATTTGTCCAAAACTATGAGCCGTGGCGAAATGAGGGTCTCGAGACTATACTTAATCGCGCCCCGCTTTTCGTTCGTTACTTTTCTTAGTTTTCGTATAATTTGGCTGAGCTTTTCATGTTTCTTATTGCTTCCGCAACGAATTTCGTGCGACTAGAAATGATTGGAACTATTGGGCGTTTGCCGGCAGCGAGCGACTCCAATTTACTTTTTTCGGATTAGATACGCTAAACATAATAACATAATTGCTCTAATAACAGGCTAACCTCGCTGTGCCTTACAATTCACTTTCCAATTCGGTTCATTTTTTACCCCAGGTCTGTCTAAAACTATTATGATTTATTAACAAAATTTCGTGCAGGCAAATTACGGGCCGGCCTTTCGTGTGTGGGTTCGCGCGCTTCTCTTTCCAACATTAGGCAAATTAAGGTGTCGGATAAGGACAAAAATAAATGGTTATACATGTATTTCTTAGGTTCGGCGTTGCCTACATAGCTGAGACTTGTGGATAAAATGATTTACTATGTTTTTTCTAATTAGCTCGTAGCAATAATAACATAGATTAAAATGTAACTCTGGCTATATTTTTCAACGTCTGTAAGGTTATTAAAAATGTTTTGTTGCAATTAATTAAGCACGGTAGCTTTGAATAAATAAAATACCGGTTTTTAAATACCCGGCGATCTAATTTAATTCACGTTATTATTAAACCAAAGCTTTACAGTTACATATCTTACATGGATTATACTATTTCTACTGTCTGCCGATATATTTTTGCAATTGTTTTCTGACTAACATAGGTTAGTCAGATAAAAATATAATAGATTCGTAAGTAAACCACCTGTCTCTTCATCGCAGTCATAAAATTAATTCCGCGCCACATTTTTCTAGTATACTTTTTGTGGAGTTGTTTTCTAGTAAAAGTTGTTTGAAATAGTGCGGCCGACAAATGTTCATGACAGTGCCTGCATTATACATGAAACCTGAATGTGACCGGTGGATATTTACATATAGAGCTTTTTCCTATCACAAGTATATAATTAATTTAGAAAACTTAAGAAATATGCACAATATTCAAGCACGCGTAATAAAGTTTTATACTCCGGTGTTTTAAATTCTTAACTAATTACGATGCTACAATATAATTACGTAGGTAAACGTGATAAGTTAATTATGTAGTTATGCCAAATTTAGTATTTCAATTATTCGGCTAATCTTTTGAGTATTTGAGAATATATAGCCCGTGTCCCTCGGGCACGGTCTTAAGTACAATAACTTAAGGAAAAAAAATTTTTATACCTTGTCCTATAGGAAATATAACCATAATTGTATGTTATCGCAGAAAGATTATGTACAGTATTAAAAGGTAAATGTATTAAAATGGAGCAGCCACCTCTAGAGATAGAGTGCGTGGTGAAGCGGAAGAGTCGCCTGCTAAAAGGACTGCGAAAACGAAACGAATAGGGTTGAACAAATCTTAATTATTATTTTTACTTGCCACTTAATATATCTTCAATGACAGTTACAATTTAATAATCTACATAGGCATATAAAACTACAACTTGCTATAGTTAACGGATGGATATAAGATACTTTCCGGCGAATATTTAAAAGTTGAAGGATTTGGAACTTCGAAATTACTTAAGAAATTGGCACCTTAACAAATATAACAAGCTAAATGAATGTACGCCGTCTTAAATAACTACTTGTAAAATGTGCTTTTAAGTTATATATACGTTTTACTTACTTTCGTTCTATTATTCTTTTTTTAAATTAAATTTCAAACATCGAAGAGCGATGTGAAGAATTAAAAGCTAATGCCATCAGATGAAATTTATGGCGATCGAGACAATGTAAAGGATGTTTTCCAATTTGTATCTAGAACAACGGGTGTGCCAAGCGGCCAGTAAACGCACCGCAAATACAATAGTGGTAACCCTATTGTCGTCCGACACAGCCGCCCGGACACGTTTCAGGATCATGAATTATGGCGCGAGCCGATGTGACTTTTCAATTTGAAATCATCAACCTGGAATTAATTTCATTTTTGAACCCCATTATTTCTGCTATCTATACGCGGATCGAGCAATATGCGAGTTTCAGTTATTGCATTCGCGACAAAAATAATTTAACGGATTTCAGCTGAAACTTCAGCTCATATATATGAATAAATCCAATGTCTGTTGGTGTGTCATTTCAAAATAAATAAGTAATTTCTATGATCCTCTCGTCTACGTACCTAGGTTTCACCAAATGTACAACCTTTAAAATAACATTATTAAATTTTCTGCAAAACAAAATTAAAACTCAGAGCCGCCAGTTTTCAAAATAAAATACCGAGAAATGTTAATAAGCGTTGTCTACGGACACTCACAAGACAATAAAAGAGATTTATGCCTCGAAAATCTTCCGGTGTAACGTCGGATACGTGTATTTCACAAATCTGTCAACGGCAGATACCCACACGAAATCTCGAAGCTACTATACGCTGTCTATTCAAACCGTTTCCAGTGACGAAAGTCGGATCTCACACATAAATTCGATTCAAAATAAAACCCAATTCTATCCGTTACACGGTTTTTGTTAATCGGGGGTGTAAAAAAAATTGAAATTCCTAGACGAGGGCATTGACTCTGAAATCTCTCAACGCATTTAGATTCGGTGGGCAGAACACGTGAATTCACGAGTGTGATTTCGTGAGTTATTACGTTACGTTCACACTGAAATTGCGAATCCAAAATACCGTCTAAAAGGTGCGTTTTGTTCCCAATAGAGCTCCGTAACAAAGCTAATATTAGACAATCATTTCCTGTCAAACTGGAGGTGTCTCCCACGCGGGGGTGGGATGCGAAATATACCCCCCCGTCTCGGCGTTCTACAATCCCCGTCCTTGAGAGTGAACCTGAATTCTTATTTTTTGTTTGTGATGAATGGATTTTTAATATCCTCCGGCAGATGTCTCGATATAAGAATAAATGTTTCCCTTCATACGTTAAGTATTCATTTATAAGTTATCTTAATAGGTACATTAGCGTAAAGTTTTATAACTTAACATTTGTGTGAGATTTCGAGATTTCGTGTGGGTATCTGCCGTTGACAGATTTGTGCAATAAAAAGTATGATTTTTTTACGATTTCGCAAAAATAACCTCAACGACGTCGATTCGTTTCGACGAATCCGACGAACGTTATTCCAAATTTTCTTAATTTTAAAATCGAATATGTACTTTGATATTCAGTTCACATGTCGACCACACAACTAACAACAA